CGTTCGTATGGAACCCATTTTGCATGTGACATGAGCCGGAAGGGATCGAGTCCCTCGCCTTCGTTCTGTGTGAATACTTCAAAACGTAATCAGTTATCTACTGCGGTGTCGACATGTAATATTTGCAACTTTTATACGTGTTTTTCATCCAGTACACACAACTGTCTGGAACTGCTTCCACAGATAGTGGTTATTTCCGATTTTTGCCGACTTTTTGAGGGTTTTCACGGGAGTAGGAGAGAAAAGTTAGAGAGGAGGGTTATTTTGATTAAAGAAGCCATTAAGCTTAAATGCGCTTTCCGCTTAATCGGACACGCCGCTGATACTGTCGTGAGAACTGTGATAGCAGTAAATGTAATAATACTGATTTTTTTAAACAATATGCTATATATTCCATGAGTGTTTAGATAAGCAAATATAAAAAACGTAAAACCTCAAAAAAGTACATGAAAAACAAAAATTTCCTGTTTTAATTGATATCATGAATCAAATGACCGAATAAAATATGTACATCTGAAAGCAAACAGCAACTTAAAGACTATATATGAAAAAAAGTTCAAAGGTTGTGAGAAGTCCAGACCAGATCATGGTTCCACAATAAATTCATTTGAGTATCATTCGTCGGGATTGTTCGGACGATGGGCCTGGAGGTTCAGTGGTACTGGTATGCGTCTTACAAAAAAGTAGCTATGCTAGGCCCTTATATCTTGAACTGTATATGTCCCCAGCTTGCATCGATCCAGTCTTCCGGTGTTGCTCGGCCCTCATCTTTCTATGAATAATCATCAAATCAACAGTTTCAGTCAGTAGAAGCTTTGACAAATGTTGTCAGAGCTGATGATTCTGTTGCACCACTATCAACCAGCATATCGGTTTCTTCATTTAATGCTGCAATAGAACGAATTTGAAGATTTTAGGCTATAAATACATGTATTGAATTCCTAACTGGTGTGGAACCTTGCCACAAACAAGGAGTGGCAATGTTCGACAGAAAAGTGGTGATGCTTAACACACACTTGTGACATCCTGAAACGACTAAAGCCTTGCCAAATGCTTTTAACAGGAGAATCGCCAAGCTTTGTAATCCCTTCAGGAGAAAAAAGGAACTTCAAAATCACCAGCAGACTGACCATCAAGTGATGTGCCATTGGTCAAAGCAATTAAAAAGGTTGGCAGCTGCGCAGTTTAAATAGTAAACATTGATTAGCTTCCATTTCATAATCAGCACATATCTAACATTCACTCCGAAAACAAATCATCGATAAGCTTGTCAGCAGATCGATAAGCTTGTCAGCAGACTATTAGCAGTTTGCTATCATTAAAGGTATTTTCGAGTAATCCAGTCTCCCAAGTGGAGCAGGACGTGGTCTCCTAATTTACCCCTTACTACTTGGAGTGGAACCTCGAATTTATCTGACAGCACGCCTGGCCACGGCGCCAAAACTGCTGGCAAGAAAAAATTCGCGGAAAAAGAAACGTACCAACAGCTGTACCATACTGCTTATGAGATGGTGCATACATTGCGAGTAACAGTAGCACATAAATATTCCACATACCAAATGTACCCGTGAAAAAAGCGCTTGATGAATGAATCAGTAAACTCTCTGATGGATTATCACTGTGCATTTGTCCCTCTCCATACTGAAAACAAAGCTAGTTTCTCATCATCACGGAAATGCGGCCACTGCAGTGTTTCCACTCGCTTGAAGAGCCTGTATGAATTATTTGGATGAGAGGGGCTAGAAATCGAGAAGAGTTGGGAAGCCACTAGCTGCAACAGTGGGGGAAAGGAATATAATGATGATACAGCTAGTGATCAGATAGCACTATGATCATCACCAGATTCAGTCAACTGTAATGCTGACGAGACTTTTTGGAGAAAGAAAAGAGAAGTTTTCAGCAGCTTTTTTGTTATTATGGCTGTCATTGTTATCATTAATATCATTATTACTATTATTTTTATTCTTGTCATTATTATTACTATCACAGTATCATTACTGTTGCTGTCATTATTATTAGTATTACTATTAGTTATTAATACTGCCACCATTATTACTGTTAT